AGAAATGTTAGAAGAAGTTTGAGATAAGATAGTATCAGGCCAATACTCATCATAAATACTACGAAAGCCATATGGTATTGAATAGAAACCACTAGGTACAAGTGAATTCACTAAGTTGCAACTGTATATGTCCGTTTCAAAAACAAACAAAGGCATATTCTTGCGATAGTAAATTGTTGGATTTATAGTTAATAAAAATGTTTCATTATCATTCATCGCAGGTATTGACAAGTCCCCCGTAGTTATTGACAAATGTGCATTTGTATTTAAAGCAGAGATCAATGAATTGGATTGAGTTATTATTTGCATGAAAGTTAATGATGAACTAGTTTGTACATATGTATTCGCTCGGATAAGTTTTATATTTTCAATTACTTGAGATCGAACTTCATCTTCTACTAGAAGTTCAATGGTGAGCAATTGTTGTTGATCAATATCAGTAAGAACTTGAGAAACAAATTCTTGAGAATATAAACAAAATGCAGCAAGTAATTCAAACTAAATTCAAAAAAACAAATTCCAGTAAATACATAACGATAGAAGTAATGAAACTTACTTGAGAATAAGCTGTTGTCCGAAAGTCCATCATAAGAAAAGAACTAGCAATCGGTATATAGAGTGATTGTATCCATTGTTTACTAACAAAAATACTTGAACAAATTGGATCTGTTAATAAAGTATTGAGAACAAAGTTTTCATAGGATATTATTGTTGTTGAACATGGACATGAAAGTGTTTCACCATGATCATGTCGAAGTTGATCGAATAACGATGGAGTAATATCCGAAATTGTTATTATTTCAGTTTGTGGATTGATAAAAACTGTGAAGAAGATAATGTACGTAGACACTACAACAACAAAAAAATCCCATCCAACAATAATAATTATCTTCAAACGTATATACTTACATATGAGTAGAAGAATATAGAGTCTAGTTGCATATCTTTGATGTCGAATAGTTGTTGGTGTATGATTTACTTGTTCATTGTCTTCAGGTATGAAAAGATTGTAAGTCAATATTTTTTCATACAACCATCGAATTAATACTTTAATATTCATTATAATCTTTTATAATTTGTGTCTTGCTCAGTAAATGAATTTTATCAAATGAATGGCATTCAGTAGACAAAAATTATATATATATAACTCATTGTTATAGTATTTTTTCAACCAAAACTAATTTTATATCAAGAACTTTAATTTTATGTTTTGCGTATATCGATTTAAATTAATATTATTGACGTCAGCACATTAGTTTTTAAAATTAGTTTTATATCAAATTGTATGGAAACAAACGTCACAATCAACACTTAAGAAAATAATAGTGTGAAAGTATGTGTTATTTTTTTATATTATATAGTATAAGACGTCACGCGCAGAGCGCGTGATTCTCTTAATTCAATGTTGGTAGAAAAAGAAAAAAAGTATTTTCTGAAATACGCTGATATTCGATAAAAATTCAACACAAATTCTATCAGATCACCGATTATGAAGGATGGCTGTGAGAATATCTGCAATAGAACACACGCATACTCAACTTAAGAGGCTTAATATGCATGGATTCATCTTTGATTTAAATAAATATTTCGATGTGATGCATGTGCTATGTGTAAATAAGTTAATATTATAATGTTAATTCATTATCAAAACTTGAATAGACATCAACTGTAAAACGGTAGTAGATAACTTTGAAAATGTTATCAAGTTAACTATTCAAAGAATACAAAAAGACATTTAGATATATCTCGTGTTGCATACTCTTCTTTAAAAAGAAAAATGATGATAAAATTTTACTGTTAATATTTCTTATTTTTTTATTGTCAAGTAAAACATATCATTTTATAAATTCACTTCATATATAAGAATATTTGTTTTTCAGGTATAACAATCATTTTTTGTTTTCTTGTTCAATTAACTCCTAATTTCAAGAGGGAAAAAACAATTTATGATTTACTGATTTAAAATGAGTTAAGCTGATTTTGTGACTTAAATTTAGTTTAGGGTGTGCGTGTGAGGGTTTGAGATGGGAGTTTCTTTTTTACTCGCCGATACTCACACCCTCACCCATACCTTAAGTAATTTGCCTATTGATACTTCACGTTTCTTGTATTTCAAGGTGCAAAGTTTCAAAATGTATTAAGTGGCGATATCATATATAACCCTTCTCTTTCGCTCGATCACTGCGATACGATTATGTAAAATCATACTGTATATATTTTTCATCTATATCTTCTTTCGTACTGTTGCCATCTGTCGATGTATGTGTCTTTCATTTTTCTGCTGGTTTCTTCATGTATGACTTTGAATGTTTTTATTCTGTTCTTACTGCTCTGCTATCCTTCCAGAGAATTCGATTATCTCCTTTTCAACTCCCGTTTTATGATCACTTCTGATTTTGCCATAATAAAACAGTCCTTGTAAATATCAGCTCAAATAAACAATTCTCTTGATTAACAAATGATAAGTGATTTACGATCGAACTTGACAAATCATATTTACATATATTTTTATATAAAGACGAGAAGACGCATATATTTCTTTTCAATATTTCTTTCTTTCTCGAAGCGATTACAATCATGGCAAATATTACATTTTTTGTGCTGGTGTTGATTCTAAGTGCGATGACTGTTGCACATACCTTTTCTGTCTTCTCCACGATGGATGATAATGCTAACGATGATAAACATGAACAACGATTTATGGTTCGAGCTAATAATCAAGTTCAAAATAAAGAATTTGGTGATGCCGTTCGATCATGTCAAGGATCCATTGGTTTTGTACTGGACAAGGATCAAAGACAACAACTTCACCGTGAAATTAGTGGACAGGGCTATGGGTTCCATGACATTGTTGGGATCTGTATTGATTTGTTTGGATGAATCGTGTTCTCATGTAACCATTCTTCATTTTGAAAGTGTTAACAACTTTTTTTTCTCGTAAAAAGATTAATAAACAAAGCAAAACATCAACAAAAAAGTCTCATCTTTCACCAAAAGCAAAATAATGTATATAAATGTCTATTGCTAATATAGTTATACAATACGTATCGCTTTAGCTGGAGGAAGTCATTATCAACGTTGATCGTTATTGTACACAACGATTCATACATTTTTCTTCCTTCTAGGAAGATTATTGCTAGTCTATAGTTAGAAAAAGTATATTTTATAGATGATAACCTAACTAAAAATGATAGTCCGAAAAATAGCCTAAATATTATCAACACTGTTCCATTTCCACCGAAGTCATTATTTTAGATAATAAGGATAGAGTGCATAGAAGTAATGCAAAAAAACATTCTCATCCGCACCCTGATTTGTTCAAAGTAGATTGCACAATATATATATTTCATAAACAATATGAAATCATAGATGCCCTCTTATGATTTAAGTGCATGAACTCTAATTTATTTTAGATTAAAAAATAACGATTATCTGTCCCTTTCTTTTAATAATTTGGAGATATTTTATTGCAAAATACTTGTCGAATTGAAATATTGAAATAAACACTGATCACTACAAGTCAAAAGACAAGCAGACGTTATCAAATAATATGTGCAAATAAGTGTTGAATACAGAATGATCTTTCACAAATAATTCAAAGTGAATGAGACGATATCTAGAGTTTGAATGTGAATGTGTATTGATTCAGAAAAAGAGTAATCTCTATATATATACAACTAAAATATTGTATCTCTTTTTTAATGTTGTGTTTTTTTTCTGACGTTGAAGTGTGATTTTCATGAATTAAGAAAACGTGTTCATCAAATATCAAAGAGAAAATGTTACGACATAAGGTAGTGGCTGAAACAAACGTCATGCTCAGCATTTTATTTTTTCCAAAAAATTGTTTTTCTTCCGTTGTGTCTAGCATATATGAAAACACTGTTAGTTCCTTTTAACAACTAATATCATTAAAAAAATAAAAAGCAAAAAAAAATAGAGAGGTAGTTAAAAAGAAAGTCCATTGATAACTCTCGATAAATAACATATGCTCATTTTATGTTAGCGTGAGAGAACTGTAAAATCCCATTCTCTCCTAACTAAACTAAGATTAATACACGTTTGAAGAAATCTAGTTGTTTAAAATATTTTATTCGAGCAAAATATTTTATTTATTAGCCATGAATGCAAACGAAAATCAGGCATTAAATTCTGAAACAATAACAAGGTATGTATTTCTTTAGTTTTTCCCATGAAATAAAAATAAAGTTTTATTGTTTTTACAAAACAGATTTATTGGAAAGAAACGGTTAATGTGGATTATTGTTGGTATTGTAGCTGTTGTAGTAGCTGCAGTAATTGTTATTCCAACAAGTATTATTTTGACAAAGAAGAAAACTACAACAACAGACGTAAGATCAACAACAACATTATCAACAACAATATCGACAGCAACACCAACAGCAATAACAACAGAACCATCAACAGCAATCTCACTAGAAACATCAGCAACAGTATCAACAGAAATATCAACAGTTCAGCCTTTTTATAAAAGTGAGTGACGACTATTTATAAAGCATTCAACAGTTTCTCAATAACATATACAATATGATTTGTCTTCTATTGAATTTTTATTTTTTATTCTCTTTCTCGTAGAGAAGAGTCCAGTAATCATAAATTGTTTGCTTGTATGTCCGCAGGGTCAAAAAAAACATCGAAAACTGATTTTTTTAAAAAGACATTCCTCGAGGTATTTTGATGCGTAGACTTTGAATCTGAGGTCTGTTGGGTGATCACGGTTAGGAGTGGATGGGTGTGGGTGAAAAGTCAAAAAAAACATTGAAAACCAATTTTTCACGTTTTTTATTTGTTTTTCCAGTAAATGTGAAGAAAATGGATTTCTACGAGAAAGAGCTAAGCTATTCCTCGGCCGAGCGTTACTTGTTACTCAACTAGGGTGATAATTCACAAAGTTGATCTAATTGATCAGCAGTGATTCATGTCTCGTTAATAACTTGTACAATAATCTTCATTTCTATCGCTGCTGAAGAAAAGAGGAGTTCATAAGAAATCAAACTTATCCTGTGTTACTTTTCCACATAAGCTGGTCAATCTGCATTCACTTTAGTCTCTTTATACTTACACCCAGGCCCACACGCTCAAAAACCGTTATAACAGTTATCAAAGGAAATTTTCACCTAAATAAAATAGTTCCATTTACTAATTTATATACGTTAATACTCAACGGTGTACAGTGATTATTAAAATATATTTGTGATCTCTTTTAGACTGGATTCAAACAAATAGTATGAACAATCCACGAATCGCTCATACAGCATCAGTATTACAAAACGGAAAAGTATTAGTTACTGGTGGTATTGGACTGAAAAGTGCGGAATTATACGATCCATCAACAGCAACATGGACACTTATCAATCCTATGAATCATAAACGATGGTGGCACTCAGCATCTGTATTACTTGATGGAAAATTGTTAGTTGTAGGTGGAGAGCATGATAATTATCAATGCCTGAGTAGTTCAGAATTATACGATCCAGTAACTGAAATATGGACAACAACGGGTAGTATGAATAGTCCAAGAAGTCAGCATACTGCATCTGTATTACGTAATGGATCGGTATTAGTTACTGGTGGACACATTGATCAGTAAGTTCATTGAGATTTCATTATAAATAAGAAAATATTCTTTACTAGATAAACCTTGAAGATTTAGATTGTGTTTTAGAAACATCTCGTTGAACGTTCTACTATTTAGAAGTATTCCTATATGTTTCTTATATGAGTTAGAAACGTACTCTTAATCGTTAATTCAAGCTATTCATATGAGAATTTATTTCTAACAAGTCTTTTTTCATAATTTAATTTACACAAACTAACATTCGGATTCGATTTAGATTGCAGTCATATTCAGCTAGTCGATAGAAGATAATAAGACTAAGAGAAAAACATGAATCTATAAATTACTGTCATTGATGTATAGAGAAAGAAATAAACAATCCATATTTGAAAGACTATTAGTATTTTAAAAAGGAATTATCGATGTTTCAAATAATACCAAGATCATTCACATAAAAATTCGAACTATCTAATTCGGATTCATTCAATCCCTATTTTTGATTAACTGTTTCTATTCAATTATATTATTAGAGTTTTAATATTCTTGATAAGGATTCTTTTGTATCTAATCTATTATCTTTAATTACACCTAGTAACATCAAATCTTGGGGAAATAATCATTTAAGAATACTAGTTCATGGATTAAACAATAGTATAAAGTTCATCGTAATATTTTTATAATTATTTTCTGTTCAAATTATAGACAATAAACAGATTCTCATGAGTTAATTAATTTTCTTTCCGATCCTTTGCCATTTTTTCATACTTATTTGTTTAATGAAAAGCTCTTCGACAATGAGAAACGATGAAGAGATCAACAATAAATATGTTGACGTCTAGCTGACTGTAGGTTCTTGCTTTTTGTCTATTTTTTTTTCATTGATAGCGTTTCTAATCTCACAATAGATCCTCGACTATCAATAGATCGAGTTATTTGATCTTAATTGATCAGATTTATGAAGAGTGTTTTATTCGAAAGAAAACTAACTAAAGAGCATAATGAAACAGACTTAAACGTTTCTCAGTTGATCGATTTTATCTTCAGAAAATTCATTGATACATGCCTAACTTAAATATGAATGAATGGAATTAATAGGAAAAAATACATTTTTGATATTTATGAACTGCATAGCATAGATCAACACCACCACATACGTAAAATTACACTGAGTTGTCTTTAAAATCAATCTAGATCTTAAGAGTGATTATACTAGAGAAGATTTTTCTTATTACTACCGATTATTTTTAAAACACTGTTTAACTGACAAATTGAAAATGGAAAGACATATTATGAAAATAAAAACATTCAAAAATCAATAGATTTTTTTTTTAGTGTTCAACTTAATAGTGCTGAGTTATATGATCCATCGACTAAAAGCTGGACACCTATTGCTAATATGAAATATGCACGAAAATGGCATCAGGCATCTGTATTAGATAATGGAAAAGTATTAGTAACAGGTGGTTTAACTAATAGTGCTGAACTATACGATCCATCGACAAAATCATGGACAGCTACTGGCACTATGCATTATCCTCGAGCCGGGCATACAGCATCAGTCTTAGCCAATGGAAAGGTATTAGTTGCTGGTGCGTCTCTAGGTGATACATGTATGACAGGTGCGTCTCCAGGTGATACATGTATGACAAGTGCGGAGTTGTATGATTCAGAAACAGGAAATTGGACAATCACCGGATCTTTAAATAATGGAAGAACGGGTCATGCTGCATCCGTTTTAATCAATGGAAGTGTATTAGTGTGTGGTGGACGTGCATATATGTTTTATTATATGAGTAGTTCAGAGGTATATGATCCATTAACAAAGATATGGTATATGACTGGTGATATGAACTATAAGAGATATCAACATCAGTCATCTGTTTTACCAAATGGAACAGTATTAGTTACTGGTACAGAAGAGCAAGGATTACCTACATCCAGTGCAGAACTATATTAAATCCTTCAGAATCAGCAACGTATATTTATATTCAGCTTCGAATAAACTCATAGTTGGTTTGAGCATATATTTAATGATGTTGTTATGATCTGTGCTAGCACATAAACTGTTAATTTGCTACACTGCTATTCGTATTGTGACCTCATTTACCGTTTTCTTTTTGCAGTTGTACCCATCACGCTTGATCTCTTTTTTTTACATCATCTTTCACTTACCTTCGCATACATTCTTCTTCTGTCTATTTTGCTTATATATATATACATGCTTTTACATAACTTTTACGCGCTCCTCCTCCTTTACAACCTAATAAATAAATAATTTGATTAAGTATTTTATTTCAAATCAAAGTCTGTCAAAAACTGCATCTATGAGTGGAATTAGAACAAAAGTTGTCTACAAGACTATTAAAATATCTTGTATTACGTATCAAAATGTAATAGATTATATAATCTCTAATCTACAAAAAAACTATCATATTACTTACCGAATTAAATCGTAAATCATAGAGTTTTCAGTATATGAGCATTATAAATTGCTCACAAAGAAACATGTATGAGAAACTTTCAGAAATTTGAGCGACTTGTCCAGCAGCTTTGGGAATATGAAATATTTTCATCACTGAGCACAGGCGATCAATAAAAAGATGTGTATCATTTTTAAGATCCCTGAGTGTATTCTCAAGATTAGTTCTGAGAATTTCACAATGGTATCTGTTTCGATGATCCTCACTTGCCATCAATTTTTCAACTTTATCTTTAATAATTGCATCAATATTTCTGCTAAGTCCATGTCAGAACTGTTGCTGGGCGAAATAAAATCGTCTGAGAACTTCACATCCTCATTCTCCAAAAGATGTTTTGTAACATTTGCCTTCATACAGGGCATCTTATCCGAAGAAATAGAATCATATGCTGTTAAAGAAAAATTTCGTGAAAGTAGATTCCATCACAGGATTGCCAGTATTGTTGCAGTAAATATGACAACAACTCTGGTGTCTCTTGCACCCTGAACTAACTTACAATACCTTCCATCGATGTTGATATCTTCTATATTTTTTTCTCAAATTCTATCATTTTGACAGTTTGATTTTCCCATCACATTAATATAAAATTCATTTGAAGACGAGGTATACAACAAATCCTTTTCTATTCAATATGCCACAAAATTTGTCAGCCATTTGGGATCTTCTATATGAATATTTGTCTTCGGGGGTGAGTGTGAGCGATGGCAAGACAAGTGCCTTACAACTACACACCCACCGTTGGCTCTTACAGAAACCAGATGCATAAACAATTTAAAAAAAGAAAGTTTTCTCTTTATTATTAAAAGGTCATTTCGCAATTGAATTGATCGAATGAAGAGAAGAATATTTTCCTTATCCACTAAATGATTTTATTTTAAAAAATTAGCTATTCATACCCATCTTTTCCGGGCACATGCAAGTGAGAAAGAGAGAATGATCTAAATGTATCCCTCTTCCTTCTTGTCAAAGCGTATAAAAACAAAGATGATGATGTAATTCATCTTCTTCCTAACTCTGCAAGGAAGTAAACAAAAATATAAAGCAAAATAAGAAAAATAAAGAGTAATACGAATGTTGTTAGAGAGTACTCTAACATTAATACATTAGATACTGAATCAGGTCATAGAAAAAGAAGAAAAATGTTAATTTAGCAACAGCAAACTTTGGTGCATGATTTTTTAACGGTGACGGTTTTCTTTCTGATAACTTTACAAACTGGTTTGCAGCAGCACACAGTGGTACGTACACAACATCGTGGACCACAACAACAAGGACCACAGCATGAATCACAGCAAGGATCACAGCAAGAGCCACAGCAAGAACCACAACAAGGATCACAACATGGATCACAGCATGAACTACAGCATGAATTACAGCAAGGACTGTTGCAACAACCACAACCGCATCCACAACATGATGAACGACAACAGGCTGGCATATTAATAGTAATAATGTGAAGTGAAATGAAACTGAAGTACGATGAGAACTGCTTTGTGAAACTATGAGAAAAGATGTGTATATATATAGCGAGGTAGAGAAACGAAGAAACTTGTTGTCATTAGACAAAAACAATTTATTACTATCCTCACGTGACAATGTCTGACGTGCACATGTGATAGAAAAACATATGGGAAGAAATAAGTTATGCTTTATTACTCTTCATGCAATACAACAAAAATAAGAAATTCACACTTATTATCAATGTCTTTCCTTTGATTTTTGTTTGATAGTGTCGAAAACATCTAAATATAATTTCATAGTCACCATATGACTACAACTCTCAAAGGGTAAATGTCATTTGATACACCTTTTGATGAAGAATAATGATTCTTACGTTCTAGTACACACACACACACACTGTAATATCATCAAATTACGTGAATATCATAACACAACACAACAACAACAATACTGATTTTAAGTATGAGTTGTCTATGAATGAATGTTCCAATGGTGCAAAGATACGTAATAATGAACATATTGTGGAAGTCAAAAATTGTCTTTTCATGTGAAATCATTTGTTTCAGAATACCCGAGTTCATGATTCAAATTTCACTATTTTTCTTTATAAATTATGATGATGCATGTATTATTTCTTTAGTCATGAAAGGATTGATTACATTTATAAAAAAAAATGAAATGAGTGGAAGCAATGGCGGCCAGCAGCTGAAATACTTTATTATGATAAAAAGAAACTGTTTTCAACTTTATAAGAAAACTACGTATCTACTATCTACATTCACGCTACAAACGAAGTAGTCTTTTTCTAATGTAATCTATTTGATCTATATTAATTTCAAAATCTTTTTGAATATTCAAAAGGGCAACGTCTAACAATCTTTCTTGTCCCATACTATTTCATAAATAAATTTTTAATCTTCTTAACGATGATTAAATTCGTTTACATTCATACGAATTCACTAATATAGTCCAGAGAATTTTATATAATTTATTCATAGATGGCAATGCTCCGTGAAAATTGTTTTCCAGAATGAATTTAGGTGCGTCGGATAAAGTCGTTGTCCAGCTTTTCAATCATCATAGCTAGTTGAATAATCGCTTGTTAAATCCTGAAGTTCTTTGTCATTCAATAATTCTTGACTATATACATAAATAAACATTATATTTAATTTTTTTAAGTATGGCAAAATGTAATTAGTATAAGAAGATTTTCTTAAAATGTTGAATATTAATCATTAATAAAACGTGTCGAATTCTATCCGTTTTTGACTAAGCGATCATCGTACTTCTCTAGTTCGAACTAAGTTTCAAAGAATAAAGATCAAATCATGATAATTACATCATTTTCTCTAACATTTTGAATTTTTAAACAATAGATGATAGTATAAAATAGAGAGTCAAAATTTGTTTATCTAAAAAATCGTTCATTTGATGAATTGAGTTCTTGAAAAATATTTGCACTATAAAATGAACTTTCATCAATAGAGACAAAGCGAAACTTCATCTATTTTAAAACGTTTTTGAAGTACACACTCTTAACGTCTCATCATTTCCCTCTTCACTTGGTTTAATAATGATGAAATAACAAAAAGTATATATAGTAGAATCGATAAATAATTATTTATTGAACACTCATAAATGAATTTGTTGTAGTTTTCTATTTCCATAAGTGTCATTTATAATTATAGAAGAATATTATTCATAAATATATTGCCTATAGGTGTATAATATCAACTATGAAGGTTAAGCTATATACTCGCTTATGATATTTTAATTATATTTTCTATTATTGTCTTTCATGAATTTATATAAAAAAATGAGGTTATATAGTTAAACGGATCAGTTTATGTTGAACGTTCTGTACTGATAGTGAAGAGACTTTTCCGATATATAAAATGCAAAGCTTAAGAGAAAGGACGAGAAAATAAATGAAGAAAGTAAAAAACGCTAATTTTGTCGTTTCTGTTAGAAAAAAAAACACAAGCATGCGGAGAATAAATCATGGAATGAAACAAACATTTTTTCATTCTGTATAGAACGTAAGAGTAACAACACGTCGCGTCAATAGTATTTTTTTTTCTTCTATATAAACAAGTTGTGTTTTCTTCTCCTAGCTATTATATAATAATCTAAACATATTCAATTTAATATCATATCATCTTTTTAGAATACAAATAAAAATGTTAACTACAAATACATCATTAAATCTTCCATTGACAATTAAAACTGAACCATTAATAAAAAAACAAAATTTATCGGAATGTCGAATATGTGGCGCTCCTGCTCAATATGCATATTTTGGCGCTATTTCATGTAATTCATGTAAAATGTTTTTTAAACGAAATGCTAATACTGAACAAGTTAGTTTTAATTATCTTTTTTTTTAAAATAAAAATTATTCGTATGATTTAGAAAGTATTTAAATGTAATTTTGATGGCTATTGTGAAATAAAACGAGATAAACATCATATGTGTGCATCATGTCGACTTAAAAAATGTTTTCAATATGGAATGACTACTGACAAATTTCGACCATCAAGACCGACGAAATCAAAAACAAAATCATTAGTTAAAATAGAACCACGATATCAATTAGAAAAAGTAAGATAATCTAAATTTACGAACTATTCTTCTTATTTATTTTTTAGTTATCAATATTAAATTCTTTAAAACCAGATCATTCATTATTGACTACTAGTCAATGGACACTTCTCTCAAATTTATATAATACTTTTGATGAATCTCAACTTTCGTTTCTTGGTAAATCTTTGGTAGATACACATGATTCTTTACAGCCAATGAATGTAACATATCAAGGGCTTATACAAAATTATTTCTTAGCTGTTTATGAAACAACAGGAAGATATCTTTGTTTGAATGATGATATTTGTAAATTATCATTTAATGATCGTTCTATTTTACTTCGTAATGCTGCAAATAATGTATCTTGCATGGCTTCTACATTTATTCCACATCACTTTAATTTATTTAATCTAGATTCTTTTTTTAAAATTGTATCAACAATGTTTGACAATCGTGCACTCTCTCTTACTTTATGGACAATGAAATTTATTAATCCAGATATTATAATATTTAAATTAGCACTTTCATTATTTGCTTTATCAAAAACGGATTATTTATATTCTCCAAATATATCAATAGAGTCAACAAATTCTTCTACAATATTCCATATTCAAAATAAATATGCAGAAGTTACATGGAAATATCTTAACTATAGATATGGTTGGTATGAAGCAGTTAGACATTTTTATAATATCATATATTGGCTTATGGCTTGCACTACGTCTATAATTCACGTACAAACTATTAGTACACATGTAGACAATATTGATTCACTTGTCGAACTAACTGAACTTACACTTATATTAGACGATGTTGAGTAAATAATCGAAACAAAATAGTAGTCAACGATTTTTATGTTATATGTGCTTATTGTTTGTCTTATAGTTGAATTTTTAAAATAAATACAAGCAGAAATAAACTCAAAGTGTATTTATTCTACAGTATTCATTGAATCTTTATAGAATATCAATGAAATAAATTATGAGAAGCTTAATCTAATGCGAAATCACGTAGTGCTTTTCGAAAAATAGTTCCACCACTTAATGTGTAAATCTAAAATGGTATTCTATTAGTTACATAAGTTAATAAAAATAATAGATTAATATTATTTGAACGTTCCCTGATTTAGTTATAGGTTGAATTTGACGAAGAATGACTTTGTGTATACTTAAAATGGTCAGAAGTCCGAAAATGAGCATCATCATTGAAGGAATTAAAACAGTAATAGAAACAAATTCTGTATCAATTAATAATCGACACCAAGCATTTCTTCCATAGCATTGAAGTGAAGTATTGGTTAAATTAGCTTCATAGCAATAGAATATTTGAGCATATGCAATACTTGATAAAACTATAGCAGCAATTACACTTCGTTGAGCATTTTTTAATGTACCCATTTGACGGTAATGTGCATGAACAGATGATGATAACCATCGATCGCAAGTAGCTCACATAATCAACCATGAAGCAATTGTTCTTGAATTAAATAAAACATATACACGAACTTTACAAAGTCAACTAATAGTATTTGTTAGATCTGCTGACTAACCAGATAATAAACGAACCAAAACACCAGAGATGAGAGTAATAATACTAGCAATAGAAGAAGCAAGAAAGAATAAAACACATGGATTTGAGCAAAGAGGTTGTTGAGATAGCGCAAGACAATTTAGAATATTTCTAATAGTACCAAGTAGAAGAATACCAATAGATAAATAACGATCAAGATCAGATGAAAGATAATTTATATAATTAATAAGAGTTGTATTTGACGACATTGATGATTTTATATTATCTAACAGATTTAGATAATAGTTAATTAAAAGGCTCTTCGCTTTGAATATTATTGAATGAATGCATCATCTATACTATATATTGATGATGTATTTTGTATGTAAAAGATCATTAACATATGATATTTTTTGTAATCTTTATTAAAGATTTATAAATATGTATCTGTTAATATTATAGATATCGATTAGATATTGAAATAAAAGATTAAATGCCGAAATTAGTTTATTTGATTCGTTGATGATAAGTACAAATAAAGTGTATTTGATTGTTTTTAATAGAAAAAAAACTCTTCAATTAAATAAGCATCAAATAATATAAGAGATTATAGAAACTTACGTAAATTTTGTAATTACTGAAAATATGAAGCAACAAAACGAGACACGTTTTAATTATACAATTAAAAAATAATCTTCTATCTAATGGAAAAAGATCTTGAGGATAAGAATGAATATATTATCTTTTGAGAAGACTAGATGATGTCTGAGTTTCACTCGAGTGCGAAATGATGATTTAAATGTTTTTACAGATCTCTCAACATTCGCCGTTATTCTAGGATGGAGTTAAAAATTTTTGTATACTGTCAATATACAGCGGATACTAACTCATCTTGTTTTACTTATCTCAACACTAAGAATTGTCTAAAAACTTTTACATTCTCGTGCTTAAACTGAGAATTTCGGATGTTCTATTCCCGAGATCATCGTAACATGCAATAGAAGATTTTTTATACGTATGTCTAGACACCAAAGAAAAAAGAATGAAAATTCCAGGAGGATTTTATATGTATCAATTTACTCTGAGGACTATTTCTGTAAGAACAGATCAATGTTTTAACGCACCCTCTATTATTTATGATGATGGTATACAAAATTTAAGATTTCGAAACATTACCTTTATCAATCGAAATGATCCTTACATTAGCATGAATTTACCATCTTTATAATGTAATATAGTGTCTTTCTGTTCAAGAACTGTCAAGTATCATAAAACATGGAGAACGTTTCTCATACACATTCGATATTTCAATTACTTTCTTCATTGTCCTCGAAGCTTGACTATTTACTTTAGTGAGATGATTCTTGTCTATATTACCCATCACCATTTTTATTTCGAAAGAATCACGGATGTGTATATATAATGAAGTGGAAAAACCCTATAGACCAAAAAAATGAAATTCCAGCTAAATCAAAACGAACACATGAATGCAATGAAGGAAAGAAAATCTAGGAGCCATCTTCATAGAATAGTAGAACATATAGAAGAAAAAAGGAAAACGCAGTTTAAACACACGAAATATATTCTTTATACCTTCACAACTTTATGTGTCCTTCCTTCAGTATGCTTGCTATCATTTTATTTACCACCGTGAGAGTGACAACACTTTCCAAGGATGGTTTTGAACGCATCACAATTTGGTGTTGCTTTCAAACAAGTTTGAGCTGAAGGTTGATGGCCGACTCCAGAACATGTGTATGATACTTGACAGTCACCATTGGCTAACTTTTCGCATTTTTGCACCTTCCATGTTGCTTTATTATTCAAAGGCGACGATGCTTGTAACTGGCTGGTAAAACATGATTCAAAAGAATCCTGTTGTGCTGACAATAATTCGAAATCTGCATTGGAAATACAGAGTGAGCCTGTAATTGCGTCTGGACCTGTAGCTAAGCATGTATGGGAGGAAACTGCTGCTAACAAACCGCCTATTAAAGACGAACCGAGGTTCAGTAAACCACCTAGGAGACCGCCTCCAGCTTGAAGACCAATGCCTAATCCACCACCTATTGCACCGGAAGAATGGCAACACTTTCCAAGAATGGTTTTGAAATCATCACAATCTGGTGTAGCTTTCAAACAAGTTAGAGCTGAAGGTTGATGGCCGACTCCTGAGCATCCGTATGATACTTGACAGTCACCATTGGCTAACTGTTCAAATCCGTGCACCTGGAATATTGCTCCAATATTCAAAGATGATGATAATCGCAACTGGTTGGTAAAACACGATTCAAAAGACTCCTTTTGTGTTGACAGTAATGCGAAATCTGCTTTGGAAATACAGAGTGAGCCTGTAATTGTGGCTGGACCTGTCGATGAACAGGAGTGTGAAGCAATGGTAGGTATTGCGATCAATGCTGAAAAAAAATAGTCATGTTGTATTATGTGCATGTCTTACAGCGGAATCAGGGTAGTAAATAAGTTTCAAAAAGAAATTGACACTTATAGTGAAGGAAGAATTGTGATTAATAAGGTCATTTTCGAAACAACTGTGTATCTCGCATGTGTTTATAGGTTCACTGTTCCAAGGGAGGTGGTGGCTTGTAATTTAAATACTTTTTGCTACTTCTAAAATGATAGATCACGTTGAGTTTAATCTTAGTCTCGGATACCCTTGTTGTTTTCATGAAAGATCGAGGTGTACTGTTTTTGATAAATACTAGAACGAACATATTTTATCATAGAAAAAATAGTTAAACCAACATAGTAATAACTTATACCATCAGCGAAATATAACTGACAAGAAATTTGGGATTTTAAAAATAAGAAACGTTCGCAATAGATTATTGCGTTTGATGGTAACAAATTAACTCATTATAAAAACATGAGGTAATTAACAAATATAAATTGAAGATGTACACTTACTTCCAGAAGCAGCATGAACAACCACGGTACTGATTACAGCAATAGTCGCCACAAACGTGAAGCAATATGAAAACATTTTTTGTTGAACAACAAAAAAATCAGATAAATCAAATAGAAAATAAGTAATTGCTTTGGTTTTTCCACATCCTTATATAGTTACATGAGATTTGAAAAAGTCTATTATTATCGTTAAATTTGTCCTGAAATGAATAGTTTTTATAAAACAACAGATGTATCCATTCATCAAATATCCCATCAATATGATTAAACAAATCTATGTTCTATTTTTTGCTTTTATTAGAGCATCAGTAAAAGTACATACGATTGACCTTCTTTTCATAAAGTAATTACAATCCAGTCAGACAAAGAGATGGTCACATCTGGCATAATGATTATCATATGTTGTCAAATATTCTATCAATATCAGTAAACAAAGTTATCTGCTATTTTTGCTCTCATCACACATGTCAATAAAAGTACATACGATTAACCTTTCTTTTTATAAAGTAGTTACAAACCAGTCAGACAAAGAGATGGTAACAGTTGGCGTAATATTTTATCAATATTAGTGAAGAAATCTATGCTCTATTTTTTGTTCTTATTACACATATCAGTAAAAGTACAAACGATTGACCTTTCTTCTTATAAAGTAATTACAATCCAGTCAGACAAAAAGATGGTAACAGTTGGCATAATACTTATCACATGTTGTCAAATATTGTTTGATAACATTTGCAGTTATTTCAAATAGAAATTCAACAACAACAAGCACCGCTATGAAAAAAACAAATATCTAAAAAAACATTTTATTTCTTTTCTAAAGAATGTTTACTTTCATGTAATGCGTATTGAAGGTATGTAGATTAGTGAAGAAAAGGAACCGTTTTTCTATCGAACATACAATGTATTACTAAAATTCAAAGATGAGATTGAATTCTATTAAATGATAAATTAGATCCTTTTTTATTATTTTTTTGTTAACTAATATTCTCTTCATCACCCTATTCTAAGGATAGATTTTGATTGGTATAAAATATTTTAGAATTTATTTGTCACGAAATCTTGTAAGAGATCATGTTTTATATTGTAAACTGTTTATATTAAGAGGTTTTTCTCCTAAATGATATTTTATCAATTTATATTAAACATAATATATTCAAGCATAGATTTATTTATTCATCTTTAGTGAATATTTAATTCCATATCATATAGGTCTAACAAAATAATCGATTCATAAACATATAGTTACTATTTCATACTTAATGGTATCACGAAAGGTGCACTTAAGACATTTGCTTCCCAATGACATCTGCCACGTAAACTCAAAAGAACGCTTTATATGAAAGTAAATTGAAAATGATAGCAGTGAGCACTATTTTGCTATTATAGCCATTCAATCATTTTTGTTATCACAATCATAGATAATACGAGACTCAGACATTTAAATTGTTTTTTTATATAAAACTGTAAAAATAGATCAAGTCACATTCATAACTAATCTTAAATGTGTATTTACAAGTGTCTAAATTAAGTTCGAAAAATGTTGTTCAAAATAGACAAAATGTTATTCTTCAGGTGAAAGTACATCTCTGATAATAAACATCAATTGTTGAATTATCTGTAATTTGTAATTGATTCAATATCATTAAAAGAACTATCTTTGTCGTAGTTTATCAAGCAATTGATTACTAGTCATATTCTTGATAAAATACGACTGAGTACAACGATAAATGTTAAATAGATTATTTTTGTTGGAGTATATTCTCATAATCAATACTCTTTGTATACAACATACAAGAAAGAATGATATCAAGAAAAAAAATAAGAATCATAGAACGAGTCATAAAAGGTGAAAGAGAAATCGTCCAATCCATCTAAATTCTTTAAGATAAGTATCTTTTTTTTTATTTTATTTTTATATAATGTAAGCGTTTATTATACAAAAAAAACAATAACTAATGCCTTTCTCAAAATACAATGGCTCTAGAACAGAAAGAGCTAGAAAACAATGATTATCTACTATATTATATAGTAATAGAGGTAAAGATGCTTCGGTGTTAAGAAGTATTCCGATTGGTGAAAACTATAACTCTTTAATTTTTTTCTATTTCGAGTTATTATCAGAATATCTATCGCTATTATATTTTTAGAAAGGCATCAGATAAAGATCATTGTCTGAAAATCATAGTTTTACATTATTTACATACATTTAAAAATACATCTTGTGATGTTGAATTTAGATCTACATTGATAATATCGACAAAACCATCACCATTGAAATCACCAACACCGGTCCATGCAAATGCACCACTAAACCTAATCGGGAATGCTGTCTGTAATGTGAAATCTCCACGGCCATCCCCAATTAATAAATTTATTGTTTGACCAGTCTTACCAAAACCAATGTCTAAATAACGATCGCCATTGAAATCATCAACAATAATCTGATCAACTACTGGTTCTTCTCCGATTTGAAATATTGTACTATTACCTAGGCTTCCATTTCCAAATCCGAATATCACGTCAATGAAATTACTACAATTATAGGAGACAGCAACATCTGGTAGAGTATCATTATTGAAATCACCTATTGCAAAATAAGATGGAAACTTCTCTTTACGAGTAAAAGACGTTATTTGTGCTTTAAAGTTCTTAGCACCATCATTTATAAATATACCAATATTTTGACCATAATGATTTAAGACAGCAATATCTTTAAAATTATCACAGTTGAAATCAGCGACAGCAATTCTCAGTGGATAACTATTATCATTAGCAAAAAGTGTTAGAGGATGTATAAAATACTCTCCTCTACCATTTCCAAAATACACTCCAATATCATTGACAGCTGAACATACAACAACCATATCTAAATACGTGTCATTGTCTACGTGAATTAAAGCGAAATCTAATGAGTTTAAGGTACAAAATCGTTTATTGAAATGCATTCGAAAGGTCCCGTCGCCATATGCTAGTAGAATGTGTATAGTTCCAAACCATTTTGATTGAACAGCAAGATCAAGATGGTTGTCATTATCGAAATCACCAACAATCATCTTGCTAATATCAGGAAGCTGATTACGTATAGATATCATATGTGATTTAAAAGATCCATTTCCAGATCCTAGTAGCACACTCATACCGTTTATGTCGTAACTACCAAAAGCGATATCGAGCAGATTATCACTATTGAAATCAGCAATAACAGGTTGGTTTATACGAGACTGAAAAGTACCTATGGCACTTGATACTCGCTGATATTTTAATGAGCAACCAAATTCGGCTAAAAGAAAGAAACAAATAAATACAAAGAGAAATTATGAAGCCTTTAAACTCCTAAGTTTTATGAGTCGTATATTACATAGGAGTAACTATTATACACTTCCAAACGATGTTCTATTCTCTAGCTATGATTCAATCTATTTGATCAAGAGGTAAAATATTAAAGTTAATTAGATCGGTAATAGAATTGTCGTAAGTAAAATTATCAGAATAAATCGAAATTTATTAACTAAACTTGACGAAATCAATTTTGGACTTTGACCAAATATATTTCTCTTAATATTTAATGTTCTAACATCTCATCTAATAAATGACAAACTATCTGAAATTTATTTATCAATTGATATGTTGTTAATTTACTCACCACGTTTGGATGTCGTTGTCGGTACCATTGTAGTATTGGTTATCACATTTACCGTTGAGTCCGTGATAATACCAGTTGTTGAAGAAACTATTAAAAAAATATTTGACAAACAATAAATCAAGAAAGTATACTGACAGAAATATCAAAATAAAGATATGGATAAATGTGGGTGTTATATGTGTAATAGAATTACATTCATCTGTTCTGATTTTTTAAATATTTCGTTTTATTATTCATTCACTTTCTCAATGTTTTTAAAAACCATACCTGTAGACGAAACTTGATTGTTGTCTGGTCGAACAATACTTATAGAAAATAAAACCAGACCTTCTACTATAAACAACAACAGCATACATATTGCGGCAAACTTAAATGAACATCGGAAGTTTGAGGTTGAATTTCTTCTAAGAAAGGAATAATGTAGATTATAAAATAAATGTAATTAAAATGACTCACTGAAATGTTTCATTCGTTGGTGTTAATTCTAAAACCGAAATAGAATTGTCAATATTTTCAATCGGTATTGTTTCAACAGTAAAAACAGATTGAACAACATTTCTACGCTTCTTTCGATATTCATATATTTTGACTATAATTCGGATTATTTTAGGACAGATCCATTCAAGAACCAGCGCAAGACCACCTTGTAGACCAAGTAGAGTAAATACTATATGAAATACATTGAATCGTTGAATATTATTATATGAACATGATAAAGGGAAACATTGTTCAAAATAAGATGTATAATTCATTTTTATATTCCAATCTGTAATAAACAGATTATCGATAAGTTTAGCTATAGAAGTATTTATGGGAAAACTAATGTTCTTTGTTGAAAGAGGTTGGAACACACTTGTATTATTGATTCGATTTGCCTTGATCGTATATTGTTTAATGAGATTAATACATGATTCATTGTAAAAACATTCAAGAGTTGACGCACGAAATGATTCACTTGGAGTACAACCTATTTTCAGACCCTTGATTGGAACGATCTTTGTTGGATTTGTAAGAATAAAATTTGCTTGAGTAGTACAATTTGAATATAATCCACATGAACAATTATTATCATAAATTATAGCTTGAGTAGGTGTATAAGTGTTGTATATGTCCTCCCATGGATGAATGTACTCGAAATTTGTCCCATAAGTTGATATAAAAGCATTTCCATTATTTATCATTCGAATTAAATAGAGCAGATGAATTAATGTTGTTGGAACATTTAATTTACTCTGATCAATTGTCAAATTAAGACGTTGTTCAAAATTCATTTCTGATAGAAGTTCATTTGTAACAAACAGTGACGAAAGAAATTGCCGAGTAAAAATATTCACTGTTTTATGAGAAAGTTGACATAATCCTTCAAGAAATTGCAAATGAGCAGAAAGAAAACGACGATAATCTCTCTCGTTGTACATAGATAAGTTAGCAACGACATCAACTGTGAGATTAAGTCTTCCCTCTGTTGACGCGAATGGACTTGAACAGATCTATATTAAATATAAAAGACGAAAAGAAAAAAAATCTCTTCCCTATAGAATTCTTCACGATTAAATGATATTCTCAAAAAAATCTTGAGGGTGTGGGTGTTGGGTGAATGTATGTACTCTTCTAATTCATCACCCACCCATACCCTCAAGATACTTTAACAAATTTTCGGGTTGAACTCAGTTCCTAAAGAATCACTAATTTGTCTTTACCTCATGAAATCTTGCTTCAATATTCATAAATTGATTATATGTCGATACGATTGATGAACATGGACATTTCAGTTGAGTTCCATACCGTTTAAAAAGTTTTGTATACAAATCAAGAGATGGTCCATCAAAATCTTTTGTGAATTCTTGAGGTCGAATGATAGTATGAAGAGTGAGAATAACGAGACCAACAGCAAACGAAACCAAGTATAGACGAGTAGCCCATTGACCAAGACGTTTAGCTTTCCTTCGATCAATATTACTGCCAAAATCTCGTATCAAGAAAATGTTTAGATTGGTCAGAGTAGTGTATACATATGACATCAGTCTCTTCATAATTCCTTTTGATCGAAGGGATCTTTTGGTACGAACTAAAATTTTAAAAAATTTCTGTCAATCTATATTACTATTTAGTTGATATTTTTACTAATTTTATCAATTTTCCAATGAACTAAAAGCATTTTGTTCAACTACATTCAACATGGGAATTTCGAAAATAATGAATCTATACTAATCTAAGAGCATATATGAATCCCTATTAGAGTTTGTGTATGAATGAATGAGTGTGATTTTTGATCTCAAGTATTGTAAGTTTTAGTGAATAGATAGTTTACTCATGTATGAAACTAAACTACTTGTTGTAATAATTAACTCAAATTAAGAAAGATGTGTCCTTATTACTCTTTTTGAATCTATTTGATAGATATCTGAATAATGGTTACCTTGCTGTTGATTTGGTTTCTTGCCGAACTTTGACAATAAATCAAATAGAAAGTTAATCAGTCGAGGTACAATTAATCGTAATGAGAAAATAAGACCACCAATCAAAGATAGTACCGTTATTATTGTTTCAACAATATTTTTTTTGTTGATTCTTTGAGAATAAGTACAATAAGTTGGTGCGCATGATTCATAAAAGCGATCGTATGAAATTGATGAATTCCATTGTTCAATCATGATGTTTTGAACTATTTCTGAAATTGGAGCCTTTTGACGGAAACGACTAAGTGTTGTATTATACACCAAAGAGTGGACATCAACCCATGGTACATTTTCAGCATTAATAATATATGTCTCTTTACTATAATTCATTAAAGTCTGTAAGCACTTTGAGTTTGAATAGTAACACTCAAGTGTTGAACGCAGAAGAGAATCTGTAACTGAACAACTTGCAATCAAGCCTGATATAATATAACGACTAATATAAGTTACATGGGACATTATGTTCGATTCAACATCGTAAATTCCAGTTCTAGTTTGACAATAAGTATCAAAAGCACAGATACAGGTGGTAGGTATTGGTTTCGCATTACGCGGTCCAGTCAATTGAAATTCCACCTGAAAATAAAGTACAGATTTACACCTGATCATCAGTCAACTGTAAGGCATGATGGTAAAAGGCAGAAAGGAAAAATATCGAAAACAAAAGAAATCCAAATGTGGATGGATAGAAATCCTGAAAATGAAAGTATATTGAAGTATAAATCTACCTCGCTCTTATCTTCGATCTTATCTATTTATCTTTATCTATATCATTGTTTTCGACATTTTTTCTTTCTGTCTTTTTCCATTCATTCCTTTTTTTTTATTAAACTTAACTAATATAACCTAGAATCATTCGTATAGAAAGAAAAATAAATATTTCTAAAATACCTGTATTTTAATCCGTCCATTCGTTTCATTTTTTGTGTAAACTCCAACTGGATTTTCGTCTTCATCACGTACGGTATACGCTCCAATTGGTCCAGAATACGGTTGATCGATTTGTATAAGAATTTGTACTGTTTTGATAAGAAGACCAAAATAATCAATTGTCGATTGAAAAAATTGTTCAAGAGTTAGATTTAATTGTTTTTCAAAATCAATTTCTGGCAATACATTTGAAACAATGAATGGTTGTGAAAGAAAGCGATGCCTAGCGTCATCGATCGTTTTATTAGCCAGCTTACAAAGCTCAGATAATAAATGAAATTGTGAGAAAGCTCTATTACGCCAATCGACATCACTACGTCTAGTTCTGATACTTTTCATTAATAAAAGCCATTCTTCTGTCACAAAATCACTTTTACACACTTGATGTAAGACTGGTGATAATGAAACGAATTTGCGATGAGGTATTGTCACCTGGGAACATGGACATCTGAGTGATTTTGAATATTTAGCTTGCAAGTCTCTATAAGTTGGTAATGATGGTTTTGATTCGGTCGTTCGAGCCACAGCAGTACTTAGCGAAGTAAAGAGAAGAAGTGTAAGAAATGAACCTAGTGAAATAAAAACAACATACAAATTAATATAAATATATATTTTCAATAATACAGAACTATTTATATGACTATACAATCTTAATTAGTTGG